GATTTTACTATCTCAGTTTATGAAAATTGAATACTATAGTTCTTCAATGATTTACTATCTCAGTTTATGAAATAAAGATCAATAATTTTATCATGGAAAAAGTACCATAAAATAATTGATTTAATTTTATAGACTGATCATAGTAAAGCATTGAATAATAAAGAATATTTCGAACGCTGTTTTTACATTAGCAAAGATCGATTATAGTTGGAATTTAACAGAGATAAGCGTATCGATGTATCGTAATATATTGAACTTTGCAAGATCGGGACTAAGAACTCGGTTTAATAATCCGAGCAAATTGTGTATGTAGTAGCATTTAACCATTATTAAACCAAGTCTCTTGTTTGCAAAAAGCAAAAATTTCATATATTTTTCTTTACTGTTTCTTCATTTAACATCAATTAATTTGTAAAACGAATTAAACCAGTAAACATTAAACAAACTAGGATGAAATTAGAAAAATATTTCTATATTAAAAGCTCATATTATTACATATTATTAAAGCTAATGATTATACTGTTACATAATAAATTTTTTTTTTAACGAACTTCAAAAAATTAAGTCAGTACTCTTCTCACTTTATTGAGCACTGAACTGTGTTATTATTACATTGATGTACATGAATAAATAATAACATGTAGCTCTAACCTTGAAATTAATAATAAAAAATAGAAATTAAAAAAAAGTAGCACGTGTATACATATTGGGTAATATTTATAGTCTAAATTTACATGTCCATTCCAGATTTACTAAATCTTTCAAGAATGAAATGTAAAAAAATTTAATCACAAATGTTTATAAAAATTGATTAAATTTTAACTTTGGTGCAGGTTGGTTTCGGGGGAGGTGTAGAGGTGGTGCAATGGGTCGTAGATGTGGTAGTGTGGCAGGGGGTCGTAGTTGTGGTAGTGTGGCAGGGGGTCGTGGTGGTGGTGGTGCAAGGTTTGGGATAGTATTTCTCTTGATAATGTTCGATTTCTTCTGGTTTCTTAGTGCAGGTGGTAGTGGTAGTGCATGGGCGTTTATGGACTTCAACTTCTTCTTCTTCCTCTTTTACTTTTTTAACTTTATATACCTTTTTCTTATGTGTCTTTTCCTCCTCCTCATTTTCTACTTTTACTTTATAAGCTTTTTTTACGTAATATTTCTTAACTTCGTAGTGTGGGACTGTCTTTGCTACAACTTTTGGAACACAAGTAGTATATTTCTCTACTTCGAAGGTTTCAATTGTTTTGTAATGAGGAACCTTCTTGTATTTCTTTATGTATTTCTTCTTTGGTACTTCTTCTTCTTCGGGTGTCTCTTCCTCATTTTCAACTTCTTTCTTGTGGTGGTGTTTGACATGTTTTTTAGTGCAGGTAGAAACAACGGGCTTCTTGGTGCAAGTTTTCTTTACTTTTTCAATTTCTACTTCAACTGGTTTCTTAGTGCAGGTAGTAGCAACGACCTTCTTGGTGCAAGTTTTCTTTTCTTTTTCGATTTCTACTTCACCTGGTTTCTTAGTGCAGGTAACAACAGGCTTCTTAGTACAAGTTTTCTTTTCTTTTTCAATTTCTACTTCAACTGGTTTCTTAGTGCAGGTAACAGCGGGCTTCTTGGTACAGGTAGTAACATGGGGCTTCTTGGTGCAGGTTTTCTTTTCTTCTTTTTCGATTTCTACTTTAACATGCTTCTTGGTGCAGGTCTTGTGATGCTTCTTGTGATGCTTCTTGTGATGCTTCTTCTTGGTGCAGGTCGTGTGATGCTTTTTAGTACAGGTAGTTTTCTCTACCTCTACTTCTTCAGGCTTTTTAGTACAGGTAGTTTTCTTCACGATCTTCTTTTCAACTTCTTTGTGATGGGGGTGATGTTTGACATGTTTTTTGGTGCAGGTAGAAACAACGGGCTTCTTGGTGCAAGTTTTCTTTTCTTTTTCAATTTCTACTTCAACATGCTTCTTGGTGCAGGTAGTAACAGGGGGCTTCTTGGTGCAAGTTTTCTTTTCTTTTTCAATTTCTACTT